CCTAAACATTTAAAATGGAAATAAATAATGCATTAATTTGTGTAATACTGAGCACATTCTTAAATCTTTAGTAGGAATTACCAGGAAAACAAGTTCAATACAAAGTGTAATAGAGCTCCAGTATTTATGAAGACTGTGGAGGTTAAATTATGGGAATTTGTAAAGTGAAGCCTCTGGGTATACTTAAGTTTCAGTAAACATCTGAGTTTCTCCTAATGCAGTATAATCCAGTACTAGCCTGATGGTTCTATCATGCTTCCCATCTTGATTGGCCAGCTTCAGAAAAAATCCCTTGCAAATGGGCTGTACAGGGAACTGAGATTCTGTTCTGCTCATGCGCATTTCCAAATTTCTTCCCATTTTGACTCCAGAGGTTATTCAGGTAATTACAGGCCAGCAAGCCTAACTTTAGTATCAAGCAAACTGGGCGAAACTCTAGTAAAGAAAAAAAATTGAGATTCCCATAAATGAACAAAATATTTTGGGGACGGTTCAACACAGCTTTTGTAAAGGAAATATTACCACAGTAGCCATTAGAATTCTGGTCTGATCAGTATAATGTACTTTTTGAGTTTCACAAAGCTTTTGACATGGTCTGTCGCTAAAGGCTTTTAAGCAAAATTAGCAGTCATGGAGTAAGAGGAAAGGTCTGCTCAATGATAAGTAACTAGTTACAAAATAAGAGACACAGTGTAGTAATAATTGGTCACTTTTCACAGTAGAGAGCAGTAAATATCAAGGTCCCACAAGGCTAAATGTTGAAACTGGTGCTATTCAATATACAGGCAGTCCCCGGGTTACGTACAAGATAGGGACTGTAGGTTTGTTCTTAAGTTGAATCTGTATGTAAGTCGGAACTGGTGTCCAGATTCAGCCGCTGCAGACCAGGGGGATGGGGAGCAAAGCGGCGGAACACGCGGGCAGCCCAGACGTGTCTGGGCTGTCCGCTGCCCGCGTGCTCCACGGCTTTGCTCTGCTTTGCTCCCCGTCCCCCTGGTCTGCTGGGGAGCAAAGCAGAGCAAAGCCGCAGAGCACGCGAGCAGCGGACAGCCCAGACGCGTCTGGGCTGCCCGCTGCCCGCGTGTTCCGCCGCTTTGCTTCCTCTCCCTGGTCTGCTGGAGACCAGGGAGAGGGCCCCGTTCGTAACTGCGGATCCGACGTAAGTCCGATCCGCGTAACTCGGGGACTGCCTGTACTCATAAATGATCTGGAAAAAGGGGTGAACAAAGAGGTTGCAAAATTTGCAGACATACAAAAATTACCCAAGATAGATCAAGGGAGCTCTCAAAACCATTTGACTGGGTAAGAAAATAGCAAATGAAATTCCATATCGATAAACACCAAGTAATTGGAAAACATAATCGCAACTACACATATATAATGATGAGTTCAAAATAACCTTTACCACTTAAAAAGAGATACTGAAATCATCTGAGTATAGATCTCTGAAAACATCTGCTTAGTGTTCAGTGGCAGCCAAAAAAATTAGGAATAATTAGGAATAATTAAGAAAGTGATAAATAAGACAGAAAATATCATAATGCCCATATATAAATTCATGGTATGTCTACACCTTGAATTCCTTGTGTTGTTCTGGTTACCTCATCTCAAAAAAAGCTGTATTTGCATTGAAAACGTGCAGAGAAGAGCAATACAAACAATCACAAGTATTAAACAGATTCTGTCCAAGGGAAGATTAAAAAGACTGGGACTGTTTATCTTAGAAAAGAGATAACTAAGGGAGAATATAGTAGGGATCTATAAAATCATGAATGGGATAGAGAAAGTGAATAAGGAAGTGTTATTTATCCTTTCACGTATCACAAGAACCAGGAGTACCAATGAATTGAATAAGCAGGAGGTTTAAAACGAACATAAAGAAGTATGTCTTCACATAAAGCTGAGTCTTATTGAACTTGTTGCCAGCAGAAGTGAAGGTCAAAAGTATAAGCATGCTCAGAAAAAAATTACACAAGTGCATGGCAGATTGATTCATCAATGACTATTAGCCAAGGTTGTCAGAGATGCAACTCTGTCATCTGGATGTTTCTAAGACTCTGGCCGCCAGAAGTGTGGCGTGGACGATAGGAGATGAACCACTTGATAATTGTCCTGTTTGGTTCATCTCTGAAGCTTCAGGCACCAGCCACTGTCTGAGGACAAGATGCTGGGATAGATGAATCATTGGTTTGAACCAATATGGCCATTCTTATGTTCTGATAATGAGGTCTTACATCATCTCAGCTCATAACAGGATTAGAAAGGGGGTACTATATTTTGTCCTAAATAATTATCCTTGTTTTCCCTTCCATATTGGTGTAATCCATTTTGTATGGTTTTAGGCAGGGCTCAACAAACCGCAGTGAGATCTACTCGCCAGCCCCACACATGCGCCAGACCAGCACTGTGCATGCGCGCAGCGCCGGTGAATGGGGCAAACGGAGCGAACGGCTGAAATCTACTCGCCATGGGCGAGTAGAAACAGCAATTTGTTGAGCCCTGGTTTTAGGTAACACTTGAGATTTTTCTTGATGAAAACAATGAGCTTCATTCAATTTCATCAGTATCCACTACAAACTTGCAAGTAGCCCTTACCCTAGGGTTTAGTGAAGAAACCATGTGTATACTTCAGGGAGAGGTATCAGGATGTGAATCTCCCAACCTGGGTCAGTTTGTAGTTGAAGCAGTAGCCTGTACCACAAAATGAAGGAACCACCAAGGCTTGGTAGTTCTATGGACACAGCTCTCATAATAAAGTTAAGTTAATATTACACATCACATTTGGGCAGCCTGTAGTTAGGTCCCCAAGCAGACTCAAGACATTCTATTTGTTACCTTTCTTGTGATGTTTACATGAGAAAATGTAGTTGTCCACTGCTGCAGGGGATTTCCACATGCAGATGAGTGTAATTTTCCAGTATGCTAAATAATATTGAAGCTAATAAGTCGTTTTTTAGGCTTGTTTTATGTGTTTTTTACTATGTACTGTACTGGTGACTGTTCAAGTTATGCTTATACTGTAAGGAAAAGTCATTGCATTCTACTAGATAGTGGGTATTGGTTTGTTATGGGTGTTTTTGTTTTTGAGCAACATTGCTTTACAGAAGCAAAGAGTTAAAACACGGCATTAGGGTTAATTCTTAATCTTATACAGGACCTTTTGTGTGTCAGTGTAGTATTATTTTCAAGAGTTCAGCGTACTTTTATTTCTGAAAGAAAGTTACCACTTATTTAAAAGAAATCAAGAGTCACTGTAATCTGAAACATTGCTTTTTTCAGTAATTTATTTAGCTTTTCAGGCTCTATGCCATGAAATTTGAGACTGAGATTACAGAAAACTCAGGTGTGTGACAGGTTGCAGAAGTAACTAATGTAATGTGAATTATATAAAAATGGCGAACATTTTTTTGAAGCATACAGTATTAAAGATGTCAGCTATGATTTTTTTTTGTCGTCATAAATGCTGTAATTGAATGTATGCTCATGACAGGTAAAATATATACTCATTATTGCAGTATAGTGAAATAAAAACTAACCTGCACTATGCCTTGCTCTAGCAGTACCATGGGTCCCTCATTTTCATAAGTATGGAAATATTAACCAGGTCTTAATAAAAATAGATTTAGGGACATGGTCAATTTAAAAATGAAATTTGTATGAATATTTTACCTGTTATAAGAATTGCTGAGGATTGATATGATTGATATACTTGAAAAGGAGTAGAAGAAAATATTTGTGTGTATTTGACAAATACTTAAATTTGTTCACACTTTTTCCTAAAAAGTTGATCAGTTTCCACTTTGGTTTGGTGGACATTTTACATTTTTTTAAAGTAACATGTAGAACAGGGCTCAGAGGCATAGATAATAATACCTGGAAGTACTTTTAAATAATTAAAAGAAAAAAACCTAATTAGTACGCAGGTTGATAGCATGACTTTAAGAATTTATTTTTTAAAAATTCAGTGATTTTTAAAAGTCTGTTAGCTGAGAGAACTTCATTAGCCCAGAGTTGTTTGCCTTCACCTTGTGCCCTTTCAGAATGTAGAGGAGGCTAACTTCAACCTCTGAAAAACCTGTGAGGGGTTGGATCACTGTATTTCCCATGAGACTGTCACCTGATGGACTGATCAGGTGGGCTTAGCGGTGTGCTTGCCACCTATGGTGCCCCGTCACCTTATCCTGCTGAGTCAGAAGCTCTGGTGTTCTCTAGCAAAGGCACACAGTTGGAGTAACAGCCCCCCAACAGAGTAACACCTGGAGCTTGACACAGCATCCTGATACACAGCCCCAATGGGACTAAATACCCTCTATAAAAGTTTTAACACCAAGAACAATCATAAAGTTGGTTCCCTTTAACGATGGTTTGTTCCTTCTCGCCCCATAACGGTTATTTACACTGCGTTTGATAATAAGCAAAAGTGATTTTAATAAAAATTTTAAAAAAGCATGTAAGTGGTTGCAAGTGATGACACAGATCAAAGTAAATTACTAAGTTAAAATAAAACAAAACGTGCCAGCTAATCCTAATATACTAAGTGAAGTTGTTACAAATCATAATTTCTTACTCTAGTTTTTATCTCAGGTACAATAAGGGCAGAGTTGATCTTTTTATTGACTTGGGTCTAGCAACTTTTCTCCCACTAATTAGAATTGTTTTCTTGTGGTGGGGATCAGTCTGTGAATCCAGCTGAAGACAATCATTGTTTGCTTCCCATTCATTAAATGGACTTTCCCCAGGGCAGGAAATCTTTCTTCCATTCTCCCCTCCCCTGCTGTGGAAAAATAGAAACTTAAAGATGGATTCCAACACCATGTGGCATGGTCACATGTCTTTGTAGGACCAACCACAGTTGAGCTTTACAGGAGAAACCAGACTATTTACAGATTATTATATTGAGCACTGGGCCATTAAGTTTTTAAGTACAGGCAGTCCCCGGGTTACGTACAAGATAGGGACTGTAGGTTTGTTCTTAAGTTGAATCTGTATGTAAGTCGGAACTGGCGTCCAGATTCAGCCGTCTGGGCTGTCAGCTGGCCGGGCGCTCCGGGGCTTGGCTCTGCTTTGCCCCCCCCATCCCCCTGGTCTGCAGCCCTGTCCACTGCCCACGTGTTCCGCCACTTTGCTTCCTCTCCCTGGTCTGCTGGAGACCAGGGAGAGGAACCCTGTTCGTAACTGCGGATCCGACATAAGTCGGATCCGCGTAACTC